TATCATTGCACACAACAAGACGGTGTTGGACAAGAGGACCGGACGTTTGTGTTTACCGCGAGAAAAATGTAATGTCTCAACGTTTGTGTTGTTTGCTCGAAAAAGAAACGAACCAAATAGATAGGTATAACGCAAGTGTCGTTTTTGTTTACAGACAAAACTTGGGCTAACCTAAATCAACACCGACCACAAGGTCGGGTAAAAAAATTGTTTCTTTTTTTTTTTTTCATATGTTCCAAACGATAATCCGAAATGCGTACGAGAATTACACACTATCGCTTTGCAACCCAAGCTTTTAAGTGTACTACTCTCCCGGTAACAGACAAAGGCCATTAAAAATCAGGAAACGCCGTGCTGTTTCCGCGTAAACCCCCTCTAACGATAACTGCGCTATTACACAGATTTTATATTACAAAACATCTCCAGACCACAAACGCCACGCTGAGCGGGTCGCATTATTTTTCACATGAAACGTTTGCATATAATATACATTAAATATTTAAACATTAACCCCGCTCGAAATCCCTCCCCTCCAAATTTCTGTAAGACATTTTAATAATCTGCGCTGCATGAGTCAAACGATAAAGTCAACAGAAGCACTACGCCACATTAGTTGGCTGGGTTTTATAATGAGGTCCTAAAAAGTGTGATACAGCTGTCAAAGTTTGCCGAAACCAACGCAAAACTGTTATAATATAAAGCTAACAACGGCGGTGAATAATAATTGAGACGAATTATAAGAAACACAATGCCATTATGGTCTAAGAAGAATTGAAAAAAAAAAATAAAGTTGGGTTTACCTTTATGGCAAAAAAATATAACAATTTAAATAGACACCATAAAGGTTGATGATTTTTTTTTTAAATATTTTTAAACCATGTTATCCCAAAAGATTAAATGTTTCAAAAATATTAAATACTTACAAAATGTTGTTTTTCATTTTTCATACACTTATACGTACCTACATATGACAATTATTTTGTATCACTACTAAACATTTTTACGCTAATACTCATACAAATTTTCAATAAAACCTCTTTAGACAAAAACTGCTTTTATTAGTTTATAACTATTCATGCATTTCATTTATTTTATTGAACAAAAATCACTGCTTCCCCAACAGCTATGTATGTAGGAGATTTTTATAGTTCATAAAAATTACTGGCTGAAATTATTGAAATAAATATTAATTGACAACATTTATCGTTATTGTTTAGCAACGTGTCAAAATTGGCTTCGTAGAAACTCCAAGATCAAAAACCAACGCAAACTTTTATTACAGAAGAAATAATTTTGAAAATAATATTTTATTCATTCCTAACTTGGGGGCATCGTCCATGTCAGATTCTTTCAATAAAACCGATGGCTATACATTATTAAACAAGCATATTCGCATATAAAAATATTGTTTACATTTATATTTTACTTGGATTTTAATTGCATTATATTAACAATACAATCAAACAGTGATAACGTCTTTAAAAACTGATGATCCAGTAAATTATTTTTAAAGACTAGTTTGTTTTTAATTTGTGATATTTTTTTGGACGTCTCATTTTTAAATAAAAATATCGAATATGAGAAAATCAGCAGGTACCATTTAAACAAGTATCATTTATCTTACGCCGATGGATTGTTCAAAGTGTTAACGTCGAAGCAATTGCAATCAATCAAATTATTATGCACAATAGAAACACTAAGTGCAAATATAAAAATGATTAATCTCAAGTGTACCTTGTATGTCAATGTCTATCCGTGATTATTAATAGACACCAAATTGCACGACAATATTTTTTTTAATCTATAAATATAGTAAAAAATAACAATATAAAAATAGCCAACATAAATAAGTAAATATGTGATAAAAATGAGTATTTTTCCACAAAACACACTGTTATTTTTTAGTTTATTTTATTTTAAAAACTTCAGATAAACCGGAAACTTAATTTAATTATTTTTAATAGTCCTAATACTATTTCTGTGTTTTAAAATAGTTATATATAACATCAAAGGGGGAAGTGGTTGACAAATTGGGTAAATGTAAATTAGGCTTCCTTTTAATAGAAAAAAAACAGATTTTTTTTATTGTTTTAACTCATTGGAATGGTTTAATTAAAACTTATTATTTGAAACATGAAATAGTGAAATATTTGATGACCAACATTGCATTTTCACATGCTCCATTTATTTACAGTTATTGCACCAATTGAACCTGATAAGACTTTTTGTTTTATTATTTTTAAACAATAAAAAACCGAACTCTAGTAATTATCTATATATTTTGTAGTACAATGTAGGTAATATAAAATCATAATAAAAACGGTTTTTTTTCTTAAATTGCCTGCGTTTCAATTAAATCATGATTTATGCCGGAAAATTAACATATAACGTGGTAAGTCGCATATCATCTGAAGTGTAAACGGTAGATCTCGAACGCCCTAGGTTAGTGTAATTATTTATTTCCATTCTAATTACACACTAGAACAAACAACTTAAACCGGCGAAACCTACTCGCTAAGAGTTATAACTGAAATGTAACGAGATATTTAAGTGTTAAAGATCCAAAGCACTACTATAAGGGTGAAGAAATAGGGGCGAGGATCGAGGGTCGAAGATAGTTGTTAAACTTTCGTCGTCTTGGTTTTGCAGTTCAGAGGTTCGTCTAACACGACAAGTATAAATATACTTTTGCGGAATAAATATTAAGTAGACATGAAATTATTGTCTTTTTGAAACGCTATTTTACATTGAAAACTATTTGGGTTATAAATAAATACATTTTTTTCAAATCATCCATAAGTGTAACATAAAATACATGTATAGGACATCCCTTAAATACTAAAATATGGGAGGGTATCTCGTACATGTAGTATGGTAATAATTAAAAATTGTAGGTACTCTGTTTATTGTGGTTATGTGCGGTAAGTATTAAACAGACGGATAAGTTTAGTACCATAATAAAATGTATACATCGTTTTGTAGCTGTTTTATAACATGAGAGCAAACTTTCCCGAATACTTTATACAATAAAATGCACACAGATTTTATTTTCAATATTGTACAAACAATTCTTAGTTGATCTAATATAAAAAATTCTGCAGAATATAGTGCGAGGGTTGTACAAATAAACATATCATTTTTTTTTAGTGTGAAGTATAAAAACTGGAGCGATTATACTTTTAAATTAAAAACGTTTTACTATTTACAAGCCGCTTATGATTGTAAATAGATGATAAAAAATGATTTAACAATAAATTGTCCATACATTGTTATCGTTTATTCATCAACTATCCCAGTTGTTTCTATAATATTATTTTTCTTATATTAAAAAACAAAAAAAAACTTAAAACAATTTGTGTAAAACATAATAATTCACATTGAATTGGTAATGGGATTTTTTAAATATTACAGATCAACTATGTTATTAATTTAAGATATTTTTTTGGAATAACATTATTTCTGATAAGTGCATTTCTATACATGAATCAATGAAATATATTAAAATTAATTGTATACATATAATTTATTACTCAGTTTTAATTTATACATTTTTGTTTTAACTACAATTTTTAAAAAGAAAACCACGATTTAAACGATTAATTGTCAACACTTTTAAAATTGCCTCCAAACCAAGTACTTAGTTGTTAATTTTATTATAGTAATAGTGTTAATAAATTTAAGTGTTTTAGAACAACATTTTGTTTTACCATTTCAAACGCGAGCAACAAAATAAGCACACGATAACTTACTATATGTATATATATATATTTTTTTTTGTAAATATTCAGTATTAAAACTTGATATTTTACTTTTAGGTGTGTTGAATAAGGAGAAATCACAAAAGTTACGAATTTCTATAATAGATATTACATCAAATACCGTACAAATAATTTGTTTTCCTCATCAATTTTAAAAGTTTCATCCACGTGACTGTCAGAAAATAAATTATGCGTGTGTGCTTTTCGAAATCCGAAAACAAGGTTATACTTTCTCAACTTTTAGCACCCAAAGTTCCTCGTGTGTTCGGGACAAGGTCGTGTACTGTAGCAAAAAAAAAAAAATATATAACAATAAAGATTGAGGTACAGTAAAATTTGATACAAAGTTTCTGCGTATAGACATAAATAAGCCACAGATATTATAATGCACAATATCCATTATTTACTGTTAACCCGACAAGTTCTCAAAGTTTGCATAAAAAATTAGGTACTATTAAATAAGCTTGTTATAAGCATATCGTTTGATAATACATAATTGATTAATTAATTGCCACATAGCGCCATTGAAGTAATCGACCAAGCCAATGTAATTTACATTTATTTTTCTCTCCTTTAGACTTAATCAATTGCAATTACTTACCATTTTAAACCGTTTTCACTTGTTTTTAATGTGGACGATTTTTAAAAATGATTGGAAATTTTTTGGATAATATGATTAGTATGATATTTTTCACTAAAATGTTCACCAATATTACATACTATTTAGTATTTTATTTATGTAGTTCCAATAGTGCGCAAAGACTTGAGTTATGATCTATTTAAAAAAAAACAATTACATTATGTGGTAATGTACAAAGTTGGAAAAATACAAAAATGATTCTGATAAAACATAATACTAAAATAACATAAATAATTTATCATCCTAGTTTTGCACCGAAACCAAAGGGGAAAAAAGTCAGAAAAACTTATTACGAAAAGTAGTACATCATTTTAGATACAATACATAGGAATTAAATTAAACATATAATTTCCGTTTTCAATCAAATATTCTTAAAAAAATATATATTGTTTATGTTTGGTCGGTTATTTAGAAATATAAAACCATAAAAAGTTTCTTCCAACTTACTGTTCGCCTTAAACATTTCAATAACAGTATAATATCTAACACCATCAAAAGTGGCTTCATTTGTAGTCATGTTTTGCATACTTTTTGTATTCAACATAACTTGTTTATATATTTTATACTTGAATACAAATTGATCGAATTTCATCTGTTTACAGGACTACGAAGTTGATTTGTACCTACGACAAAAATGGCAAGACGCCCGGCTGAAGCATCCGGATATCACAGAGTCCCTAGACCTGAACGATCCGAATTTGGTGAAAGCCATTTGGAAGCCGGAAGTGTATTTCCCAAACGCTAAACACGCCGAGTTCCAATTTGTCACCGTGCCCAACGTTCTCATACGCATAAAGCCCGATGGTGACATTCTCTACATGCTCAGGTAACTGATCCATAATTATTGCAATTTTGTAGTTTTTCGAAGCGAACCCTGCAGAAATAAATCTGACAGGTTTCAGGAAGTAAATACTATAATATTGTTGATAAATGTGCCGCATTACCAGTATCAGTGACTTAATCTGCCGGCCAACTTGTAATTTTCGCTCTGAGTACCAGGATTAAATGAAAAACAAACCCTTTTGTTGGCTTTGTTGCTTAATATGAATATTCTTGGCCGTGGGGTAAAGGAAGGTGCCTGTTATAAAAAATCGTTACACAAAATCTGCAATCACTATAATATCTAACTAATATTATTAACCGGTGAGGTTCTATTCAGAGCTGCTCCAACTAATTTTTCATGATTTTGTGAACTGGTTCCCTTCCGATAGATGTTGTCCAATTTAAGTTAACTAAAACGTCTCCCAAAATGAAAACTAACTATGCAATTTCATTCGTTTTCTGAATAAACAAAACTCACTAAAAATATTAAAAACAGTTTTTTTATTTAATAAAACATGTTTTGCACAAAATCTAACATCAAATTGTGAAAATTTTTATAAAATCAATGTTCTTCGTGGCAAAGTCCTTGTAAATTGTAAATGATAAATACTATAAATACATGTAGTTTTAATTAGCTAGTTTAGTTGTACTTTAAAATTATAGCCAATGAGCAGATAAAAAAAATACTATTAACAATTTTCAACTTGAGGAAATCATGTTTTGAAATCTTATGAACTAAATATATGGCCAATTAGTCAGTATTATTTCTTGCTTGTTTAGTTAGAATTTTAAGTTAGTTTTGGCAATATATTCAGCATTTTAAACTATACTTAATCGTTAAGCTTAACTGGCGAAAACAGCCATAAGATAGGCAAAGGTCATAATTTTTTTTTGTGTAATTTCTTTTGTCTTATTCTGAATAATTCTGAATAGAGTATAAATTATAATATATAGTAAATTATCAAAAGGAACTAATATGTTGAAACAAGAACTTAAGATACGAACAAAATAAAAATTACTATTTTAAGTAACAAAAAACATAAGGTTCGCCTAAATCACTATCACAAAATGGATCCGTGTAAACACAGTACAAACGCTGTTATTGTTGTCTGTAAAACAATAAAAGTTATCACAAGAGTACAAGTTTCTTTAAAAAAAAAAACTATTTTAGTCCAGATCTGTTGATAATGTCAGAAAACACTTTTCATTGTGTTTCCTTTTACAAATCCAAAAATGTTATCTTATTCCGGCATTTTGTGCTCACTGCTTTTATGTTTCCTCTGGATGATCTAATTTCTGAGTACAAAAGTACTCAACGGACAAATTTATTGTTCATTTGTTGGTCATACATTTCATATACTAAAAGGTCTAGTTGTACCAATCTATATAACAGAACATTTTCTATTATTTCGTATGTGCCCTTATGTTCAAAGTTATGTTTTCATTTACAAATTTTTATAGTTTAAGTAATTCTTTTTCAAACAATATTTTACTTTGCAATCATTGGGGCTAAGCTAGAATATGCTTAACTTTTTGATCTTTGCATAACATACTTTTTTATACAGTCAGTTCGAAATCATTTTCTACGTTTCTTTTCATATAGATTTTATATTGAACGTTCTCGTCGTTCTGACCATGAAGGACTTCAAGTGGCAATCTAAGTGGCTTCAATATGACATAAAAATAAAATACTTTATGCTTATACTATATTATATTAATATACACACACATACACATGATTGCATCGCATAATAAACACATAATATACTTCCTGGCTTCACGAAAAAATTAATAATAATTATTTAACTATGAACACTAACAATGGAACACAAATTCAAGCTACTAAATTAATACAAAAGGTTCGTTTTCATACAATGTGGGATAAAATATTTATATCCCGGAAGTATTTATCTAAAAAAAGATGGACAATGCCCATTTTTAATCTAATTAACACCGTACGAATTGCGAGGGGCAAAATATTATATTTTAATTTAACAAATTATCTCTCGTGGGCGTGCCGTTTAACTTTTTAGCTTATGCGACATTGTATTTACATTTAATTGGTTTTTATTATTACCGTCGGATCAAGACTTTATTGTAACCAACGTTACAATCGCATACAAAAACAAAGCGGTTTATCGCGATTAACAACAGCCAACTTACTATTAACATTTTTAAAATTATTTTAATGGAAATCGAATGATGGATTAATAAAAAAAATCCAATCTAAATTTTTTATGGAAAAATAATGTATTCCCTATTAACCCTTTTGAGGAATTTGTTTACAGGATATCGATGATTGGATGTTTGTACTGCGTTTGGTACTAGGAAATCCGGTCCCACCATTAGTTTAGACTTTAGGTCGTTGTGATAAATTAATTAAACCCAGCAATGTTCGACAAACAAATCACTCGACAAACATAATCACTTCTCAGTTAAACAAACAGACTTCCCCAACGAGCTATGGTTCTGATCTAAATTAATGTACAAATTACAGCTTAATATAAAAGTCTTAGGCATTATTTAATAAGGCCTCGACTACAAAAGTCATTGGCCGGAAGTAGGAGGGTTTCAAGCCTTACCTATATACAAGTACAACCTGTAGTGCAAAACGGTAATTCAGAGATAACAACACTCTGGATAATATTATAATGTTCTCTAACGCAGTCCCGTGAACCCGACTCAACTGTTCTGGCATTTTTTGTTATATATATATGCTTTTTTTTGGGCTACCAAAATCGAGAAGGCACTCAACTCGTTTATGTAATTTTGTCCAGATTTATAATGCAACTTTCGAACCCGTCAACAATACCCCGGGGGAAACAATACCTCGTATATATTGCGGGCACTTCTGCGTTTGTTTTATTGTCGGTCGGTTCCAAATTTTTTTTTTTTGTCTTCCCAAAGTCGAATGTGAACGTGATGTCGAAACGATGTGACCGCGATTTTTTATCATTGTCTATATATGCATACATGGCACGTGTACGTGTCGAATCCCACGGGAACAGATGTCATATTATAATGACAGCCTGTGGATGTCGCCGTGGTAACCCGATTACGGATTTGCTCGGTGATTCTCACCTGAACGACGAGGATTGATTGCTGAACAACAAGTTATTTATACATCAGTCAATCGTGGTGTTGATCTGAGCATCTGTTTGTCGAACTTATCTATATCGATGAGAGCATTAAGTATTAAAGAAAACAACAGGTGGTTTGTGGATCGGATCCCAGTCCAGAGTTGGAAAAAGTTGTGTTCGAATATTGGTTTGAACCTGTTAGAATGCGTTGAACGTTTTGACTGATCGTCATTGGGAAATTTCCACTATTTGTATTAAAAAAACCTTAAAAAAATATTTTTAAAGAAAAACAAAAAAATTACTACTATTTTTCCAAAACAACGCGCTTACATTAAAATAATCATTTTCGTATATTTTTTTGTATATTTTTTGCAGATTAAAATTGACATTTTCATGTATGATGGACCTATCAAAGTTCCCTTTAGATAACCAAATTTGCACGATGGAAGTGGCCAGCTGTGAGTATAACAATAATTATGACACTTAAAAGATTAACTACTGTTAATAATCACAAAATTTATTCTAATTATGTTACTAATATTTTGTAAATTATTGTAAAAAAAAAAAAAGGTTATACAATATACATTTCACTTTAAAATGCGTTTAGTATACATTATAATAATATTCAAGTGTACACTTTAGTGTAATAATAATAAATGTATTTATAATTACATCATAATTATTCAAAATAAATTTATAAATGTACTATTTATAAATGTTATTATTAATAATAACCAAGCATTACCATTTGTTTCGTTGCTAGTCTCAAAAACCATAGAAGAACTTCGGCTGGAGTGGAAGACAACGAATCCTGTGATAATGGCCAAGGGATTGAGAATGCCACAGTTTGAAATTGTCGACATCGTTCCATCCGACTGCCAAGAGTCGTTTCAAATAGGTACAGTTCGAATTTTTAAAATTATTCCTTACATAAGTACTAGAGAGTATAAAATAACAAATTCAATTCTATACAAGGAAAAACAAGAAAAACGATATTTTGTTTTTCATGTTGTTACTTAAGATAAAAATATTGTAGAAAATATATGGGAAATTAAAAAAATATATAGTTTAGTAACCAGACATAAATATGATAAGATCGGTTGATAAGAGATATGGATATGATAAGAATTGATAAAGGGAAATAGAAAAATAGTCGACCGATAAGTATATATGTGTCATTTATTGTAAAAGCTTTTTTGAAGTTGCTTCTCTTTTCTATAATGAAAGATATGACTAAATGTCTAACTACATTAAGCAAAAATAAATATTTTTTTTAAATTTAGAGTTACACCACTTTTACAGTAAACGACTTATATGATAGTTGAGATCAGTAGAGATACGATTGTGATGAGAAACCGTCGCGTTCGCTTAAATAGCTTCACAATACTAATAACAATAAAGAAAACAAATATTTTTTCCATCAGCTTTTCATACAGTCTCAAAAAACAGGTGTTTTGTTTAAAAAATAAAAAATTCAAATTATTATGTTTTATCATTTCCCACACTTATGCAGCTGTCGAGATTAATTTTAAGTGTTGACAAAAAAAAAGCCTACAATGCAAACATATTTCAAAACCCAAGTCGTTGAAAAACAAACGGCGTTGTGATTAATAGTGAAACTTTGAATTTAAACACAAAACCTACGCGTGTAAACGACAAAGGTAGATTTGTCGCATTATGTATTTGTATGAAGTATAACAATATGTGTCTGTAAAGCGGTAGTGAATGTGCCTTCCCAGCTAATCCAGAAGTTTTGAAAGATTTTTTTTATGTGCCTGTATCAAAACTACCACGACAAAAGATACAGAAAGGATTTTTTTTTTTTTGTGGAAAATTATGCGATTCATTTGTCTGGACAGTTTAAAACTTTTCTGGGCCAAATGATAAACGACCCAAACGTTACACAGCACATTAATATTCAGCGAGCCCACATGAGAAACCACTATACGCTATAACTAACCACTCTAAGCCGACGGGACAAATTTTTAAATGCATACGCTTACATATACTTTATCACTACACATTTCAATATAAAATATATGTTATTATTATTATTTAAAATAGCAATAGCCAAAAAAATATTTAATTTCATTTACCTTTAAAGTTTTAACGCTACATTGTAATGCTTAGTAAAGTTAACTTTTTTTTGTAAAGTAAACCCCCCCCCCCACCCAAAAAAAAAGTGGAAAGTTACACCTTAGTAAATATTTTCTGGGTCGCAATATGTGAGCGAATGAGCAGTCAACAGGTGTTCAACATAATAACACGTTACAATGAATAACCGTTTTGTCGAATAAAATTTACTTTTGAATAGCTAATAAATATAAGTATGCAAAGTACAAAAATCCTTGATACCTAACCGTATTGCTTTATTTTTTTGAAAATTGTATAAAGAAAAAAAAATATGAATAAACAATGACTATACAATATATAAGTATTCCATGTTGCGTTTTTTGATTTTTCCAAGTAGGTTAATAAAACCAACGTAGGTACAAATGACACGAAAAGTGAAATACAAGTTTGCGCAATAAAACCGAAAACTGCTTGGCGTTCTCCGGGGAAAATAAATAATTTGAAAAACTTCAATCAAATTTACAAATCTGAAGGCGACAAAAATAAACCATAAAGTCTTAATAACAACCAGGTCGGTGGAAATAGCAGAAAACAAACAAACACAATGTCCACTCTAAATTATTTATAACGTGCATATAAAAATTAAATAATATTCAGTAAGTCTGATAACACTTTGGCAGAACCAAGAACAAAACAAACCATTAAAGCGCTGATTGATAAAGAATTCCAAATAATAAAATATAAACCGCACAACTGATTTGCATGGTGTTCTTGAGACAGCGACTGTACAGGGTTAATCAGAAGTAAACATTTTGAACTTGGGCTAAATTGTCTTGAACGCCGTGAACGTATTGTGATCTCTACACAGGGCCGTTTGACACCGTTCTCGTCGGTTCAATTCGAGTTAACGATTGAGACTTTGATGTTGTTAATGAGTGACGGACAACGTTTACCTTATCGCCGAATATTATCAAATTAATTGCGCAACATTTACAAATGAAAGCTTTTGCGGTATCTTGTGTTTTCATGGAACGGATCCTGTGAGCTTTGATCCCTCATCCATCCACATGTCCGAACTCAGTATCGCTTCACAATAGGTGTTCCTTTGAATTCGAACGGTTGATCTTAATTCCATTATACCACTCGCAAGAGTGACGGGTCGGTTTAATGGAGATTTAACAAACGTCTCAGACACAGGCACTTTGATCTGTCACAGAGATGGCGTGTGTCATCCCTGGTATGAACCCTGGACGAGTTTTTCCAAATAATTCCAAACCTTGAAATGATGATATGTATATATATTTGATTTGGCCGTGTATTTTAGGGATAAAATAAATCGAGCTAAAAATGTACCGTCGCTGGACGGCTTCTTTTCGTGTAAACCGACGATACCTTATGTCATTATGGTCACCACAATTACTTATTGTATGCATAGGATATAGGACATTCTTATTGTGTTTTATTTCAATGCCAAAGCGAATAGTGTTTTCAATCGCGTTTTAGAGTTCTGTTGTTTTTGTCGTTGCTTGTCATTGTATGTACAGTTGCCACTATTAAAGTGCAAACAAGTAACAAATTGATAATTTTTCCATGTATGTCAAGTTATGATCCCCACAAAAAATCGTTGTCACCTCTTAATGTACTATTGTATGTAATCACCGTTTAATTTAAATTGAATGACCTTTAAAAATTATTTTCAATACTAGATAGTTAACACATGGAATGGATTCAACAGTACAAGATACACCTACAACAACAATGTAATGTCATGTAATTAATATTGCAAGACGATAATGATATAACAAATTTATTGTGATAGATAAAAATGTATAATATAATATAATATAATAAAATCAATGTTATTAGTAATTTTTAATTGTTTATAATAGTAGTTATTAATATGATGTATACACTGTAAGCACAAATATACCCAAATGAATAAGTGAAAAAAAAAATAGATAGAGATTAAAATATTTTTAATTGAATTTGATAAGACAAAAATGGATATGAAAATGTTTTTCAGCAACACCGCGAATCACTTAACTCTGTTCATCAAAAAATTGTTCACAAGTATAATCTGTAAAAAAAAGTACATACATAGTTATAAACTATTGTTATTTTAATAATAATCATAACTATTGATATTATAATCATAGTATTGATATATTATGATATTGATGAATGATCGAATGCTTTATATTATCTCAATTGTTGGATAATATCGTATTAATATTTCATGGGACAAAACATTTTTTTAAAGAGGCTCTGTATTTTTTAAGTAGATATTTTTGGTAAAGAACCTCAATTAGTTTTCCAAAAATACCTTTTCCCTAATGTTCTATGATAGATATTTATTAGTATTACTTTTGTTATCAGGATGTCTTAAAGCACAATCAGCAATCTGTTGTTTTTCCGGATTATCGGTGTACAACATCTGAAAATGAAAAACAACGATTAAATGCAAATAAATTAATGAAAATGTTAATTTTACCAAATATGTACTTACGGTACGTATAGGTTGACCAATCCGTCTCGGGGTTTCATATTGAACAATTTTTTGCTAAGAAAATAAAACAAATATGTACCTATTATATTTTGTATACGCCACAAAAGGATCTGGTAGCTGTTATCTATTATTAAACATTGAGGAGAGAGGGAGGTTTAATTTTTATTTTATACGGCCATTTTTAGTTTTTAACTGAAAACAAAATTGTAAAGTCAAACGGTTAGAACTAACACAGTGCCGAATGATAGCTTAGAAGTTAAAAGACTATTTTTGTTTATTAATTTTTGCACTTATATTCATCCAATTTAAATTTTAGATTAATCAGTAAAGACAAATGTATGACACTGCTCAATGGAGTTGGCTGCGTAGGCCCTTAATATTTGTATAATATAATACTACCTGAATTTTTGGAAATTCTTTTAATTCTATTTTTGGAGCACCTTCATTGTTTCCCTAAAAATAAAATATATTAATTTTACTTACTATTCATTTAGTACCTTAGTAAAATACAACCTTATAAAACTATTTTGTTACTATCCGAAGTTCTACATAACTGTTATATTCTTATAAATATGAATCAAATACAAGTTTTTGTATTATACCTGAAAGACATACTGTTTGATGGCTAAAAATAAAAAATAAATTGAATTTATCAGTTATAATTTCAATATCAATAATTTACTTCATACAACTTTGATAATACTTTTAAGCAAATTATATATTGTTTTTTTAAAAACTAAATGAATATATAATACAATTGGCTGTTATTACAAGATACTATTTTGAAGGAATCAAATTAAAATATGTTTATGTAGTTAAATGTGTATTTTGGTTTGCAATTTATTTTATATTCTTGTCAACGTTTAACTGGCCTTTAAAAAACAAAAAATATGTAGTGTAAAGTGAAAATTTGTTACCTTCTATGTCATCGGATAGACGAATTGGTGCCGCGGTCGTGTAGTTGTAGTAAAATAAAAATAATATTGTAATAGTAATTATATTTTTGAAATACATTTTTAACAACAGTTATCAACAAAAAAAAAAAAAAACACAAATCTCGGAGCGGACAGTAAAACGAACGACGACCACTTAAAATTAAAAACTGTAAACGAAAACCATTAGTTGTTATGTTCGTTCGAAATCATAGCACAAGACTATTGATTACATTTTATTTTTGTTAAGAAAAAATGGCTTTTTAAAGCACGGTATCTTGTAGTTATTGGTTTAGTGTCGAATATAAACAATTGAATACACTCGATTCCACATTTTTTAAAAAAAAAAAACACTTCCTTTCGTGTAGGTTGCATTTTCACTGTAATAACAAACCACCATAAATAAACCCATATTTGGCCTCTTAAACATTATCTGACCTAATTTAAGGCTTATAGTTGAACGTAGACCATCTTAAATATTTGTATGTGTATTATTATTACTCTTATGTTATTTTACACCAAACTGGTCAATATCAAGCTTTGAACAAATATTTTTGGAGTTATTAGCATTTTGAGAAATTGACTGGAGGAAAAGCTATAATATGGTTTATAAAATAAATAATTAATGTTTTTTAATTTTAGACACTTGAAATAGTATAACTCGGTCGATGTTGTTATGGTTTTGGATGTATTTCTTATTTAGTGCATTGGTGTATGACTAACAGGTAACTATTTGAATAAGCATACATAACAACACATCAAAATATTTTTTCTTCTTATTTCAATAAATAACACAATTTCAAACGTGTTTTCAATGCGTTTCCGCGTAAGAAAGTAAATATACAATTGTTTCGAAAAGTAATAACAGTGATAAAAACATATAATATTTTCAAACGGTTTTTAATGAATATAAAAATAAAATACATTATTAGGAAAACAAAAATTATAGTTTTTGTATTATTATTTATTTAGTTAACATATTTTTTTAATAAAAATAAGTATTGACTACCATTTTGTTTTAATATTTGGTATACACAATATTTATTAATTATATTATTTATTGTTTAATGTTTATGTACTAATTGCAATTGTAAAAAATGCAATCCAGCAAAATTCTAATTTCTTAAGTTAAATGACTTAAGATATTGTTATAATTTTCAAGCATAACGTTTTTAAGGGTCTGGACTTAATTGATGTATAGGTTTTAAATTTGTATTATGAAAGCGTAACAATATTGAAATAAAAATGCTATCACAATATGGAAAATTCGAAAATCGAAAATATCGACTCAAAACGTGAAGCCGTGGTACTTGCACGTAATAGAGAAGTTTTTTTGTTGAAGTATAGTTAAATGAGCAGTAAAAAAACATGATAAAAAATGTATATTTTCCATAAAAAAAGAATTCTCTTATTTGTTTCTTTAATGTATATGAAATCCATTAAAAAATGACTTAATATTTTATGGAGGGAAATAAAATAAGAGATTACCTTGGATAAAATTCATATTGAATTATAAATTAGACCCCTCTAAAAAAAAAACTACGTATATAAAACGAACATATCTTACATATTAAAATCAAAAGTTTACTACCCTCGACAAAAATATGCATGTGTATAAATACACCGTAGAAGACCAGTAAAATATGTTTGTAACTTTTTTACTGTTGTCCGTAATCTAAATAAAACTGGCCTTTGTTTCATTCCACGTTTCTACTACCACCTTATAATACACAACCATCGGATGCCCTACATTAAATGCATATTACCAACATTACACATAAATATGATGTATGAACGTGAGTTGTACTTATAAAAAAAAATATGATGCTAAGTGCAGACTCAGGTAGTATGGTAGTAAAAACAAATGAAGAGTTCCTTACAGGGGCAACCAGCCTGGTCATTGGTATTAAGTACCGTATCGACGTCCTTAGTAAAAGCTCACTTGATGAATTTTTTTTTTTTTACTTTAATCATATTGACAATGTAATATATAATATTTTTGTTTATCGCAGGTAATTACAGCTGTCTTGTGGCTCAGTTTTACTTGAGCCGGAGTGTCGGATTCCATTTAGTGCAGAGTTACTTGCCGACCATGTTGATAGTGGTCATATCATGGGTATCGTTCTGGATGGACGTGGACTCTGTGCCGGGACGAACCACTTTGGGAGTGACCACGCTGTTGGCCGTAGGATCGCAGTCTTCGGGTAAGATAACAATAAAATATATAGGTTGAGATGCAAAGACAACACCTTCGACGGTTGTTTTAACGTGAATGTGTTCTTATATCCTGGAGGTCAATCCAAAATTATGAAACTGTGATTGTCTTAGTTGTTTATAAGAATGAGATGAGATCACACCTAAAATGTGAGCCCCACTGTTGGTTGAATGATATTTTTCAAAGGATCGTCCTTTAGCTGTCAAAATCAAATTCCAATGTCACTTTTTTTCAAACGACCTATCACCATGTCAAGAACGGCTTTGAGAGAGTCGGCCATTACCTTTGGGATAAGACAAAGGTGTAAAGCAAAAGCTATAGATTGTTTTTTTTTACCTTCGTTATTGGAGCATATTGACGATTCGGACTGACACATTTTTGTTGACCCAAACACATTCTAAATGGACAATTTTCGAGACACGCCAATATTAAGGATATTGAATCATTTTTTGCCACCAACACAAACATCTACCACTTTCGTAAAGAGAAGGCCGACAATGCAAATCCAGTTATCATAAATACAATTCCCAACATATTGTATTTGAATGTGAAATGGGCGGGGAGGTGAGAGGATTGCATGTAGAGGGGGAAGATGAGTAATGCTAAATACATATTCATGATTCAATGTTTTTCCGCAGGCATCCAGAGCGGCTTGCCCCAGGTCAGCTACGTTAAGGCCATAGACGTGTGGATGGGCACGTGCACGGGTACGTTACAGTCTCACAATTAGTGTTTAATTATAAGAAAACAATTGAATCATCTGATCGTGTCGTGTTTCCTATAGCGTTTGTGTTCTGCGCTCTACTCGAGTTCACCGTGGTCAATTACATGTGGAGGAAACTCCGGCCGGACATCCTGAGATCGTTTTTAACGGAACCGGTCAACGGAGGAGCGGTTGCCAACTCGTTCGATCAAGACAGGCCGCCGTCGCCGTCCATTCCAATCAGCTTGGTAATCAAAGCTGTCAATTTTAACACACAGAGTTTTGTAATAAATTCATAATCAGACCATTCGGAGGGCGTGTATGAGTGAGAATGGGATAGCGATCGAGTGTGAAGGACGTGTAGATCTAAATGGGTTGGGAATAAGATTTGAAGGAGACGGTGGTGTGATGGTGATAAGAGAAAATCGATAACCTCTGGATAGATGGCTGACGAGAGACAGAAAATTAGCTGACATGTTCCAGGTACTCCGGGTCTAGCAATATTGTACTTGGAACTGATGGGATTTTTTTTAACAAGACGTATTTTCTTGCGATCAAAAGTGGTACGAATGAATGACATTGTAAGGATGAGTACGAGAACATAAGCTGATAAGGTATATGATATTGATAAGCAGAAATTCAGGGAATCGACCGATTAGATGTACGGTAGTGATAAGAATGGCTATTGGTAGAAAAGAAATAAAATGTGATCAGCTAATAAGGATGGTGTGGATTGATTATGATAAATAGAGAAAGTGCTATGTAGGCTGATAAGACGATAAATACGATAGTGTTAGTGACTGAGATCAATAGAGAAGAAAAGCATCACTATAGCGACTACAATACAGAGAATACACCTCTCTCGCGGTGTCTCGTGTATTATTATTTTAGGAAATGAATTAACTGAACGCAAAACTAATTTCATATTGATGTGATCGCAATAGGTGAGAAAAATCTTGCATCAAGAATGTGCTTACATGTCGTCCACGGAAACCAACACGGCCTTGGCGAGAAAAATCGACGAGTACTCCAGACTTTTGTTTCCGCTGGCTTTCATAGCATTCAACGCATTGTATTGGCCATACTATTTGCAAAACTAACAGCTTTTTTGCCAAATCCAACGAGGAAAGACCAACTTTGAAATGCTATCAAAATATATATTATTAAACCGTTTACCCGTTAAGATACCTGTTAATATTGAAAGCGCAGGTAAATTTGATTTAATGTTGTACCAGAAATCTCTTTGAAAACACACTGTTAGAGAGACAATAAAGGCAATTAAACAAAAACAATTATTTTGAAATATCATTGCGATTGATGGTAATTGAATTCCATGATTGTCAAACACGACCTACTCGAGATGATGTTCAATTATAATTGATTGTTGGATTGGGTCTTAGATTGGTTAGGGTCTTTCGATTAAAAAGACTTCTTTGCCTATCAACCAATAATTGCCAGGACGGATCATAGAGTAAAAATCTAGATTTATCGATCATATCTCAATGGATAAATTCATATTAAATCTAATAATAATATTTTGAAACTCACTATTGTTGAGCTAATTTTACTCCCCCCCCCCCGCCATCCATCCTATACACGATGTGTTGATCAATACAACCGAAATTTGATATAATAACAATCTCCTTTATAATGTGTTATGATGATTTTCAAATTTATTCACTGTACATAAAACACTATAAAATTAAAAGGGAAAGTACTATTAGGTTTGTCCTGTGTAAAATTGATTCGGTGAATTATTCCAAAACTTTGAGTATTTATTTAATACAAATCTAGAAAAAAAAATTAGTATTTTCGGACGATATGTGAATTACATTGTAAAACTACCTTCGTGTTTTCAGTTAAAAATTTGAAACGCAATAGAAAGTAATTTAAATTCTTAACAGAATAAAAACAACCTTGAGATGTTACCTTTAGCTGTTATAAATCATCCTTATCCTTTCCCGTAAGACAAATTTCGTTTTAGTATTTCGAATATATGTATCTAACAATTTTGAAGAATAAACCACAAACGTTACCCACACAATCTATATATTATGCTTCTGTCATTCATAGAAGTATTATACTTAATATGAAATCCATTATGATTACCCATAAATTATGTAACACTATATTTACCTAATATTTGAGTGTAAATAATAACAATAATAATTCATAATGTGTAAAAATGTATCAAAAATAAAATTACCTAATATACAAAAAAATATATAAATAAATATAATTTATGACAAGTGAGAAGTGAAAACTTTTTGAAAATAAAATGTTGAAGTTGCGAAATTTTCACACGTTGTGCAAATGGCAACTTGTCGTTGTTATTTTTTTTTCTATAATTAATTCCACTTTTTATCTATAATTAATTAGTAGGTCGAATCTCTGTTATAAAAGTTTTGACAGGCATATTTAAAATATAATACATTTGTCGTATGAAGCGACCCTTACACTCACAGTAATATTGAGTGGATAAAAATTGTGCAATGTAATTTTGAAGAAATCAAAAATAGTGTTGGAATTTAATTGCGAAATCCGGCACATAAGGGCCGCTTCAATTTAATGTACAACTGTAATAGAAGATTTTGTAAAATAATATCCGTTAAACAATTCTATCCTGAGACCAAAATAATATATGATGACATTGTCTAAACACAGCATATCTTGAACAAACATAGATCATATTTAAATATCTAATAACAATGTGTTATTAGATATATTAATGCAATATTCTTCTATTATACTAAATCGTGAACACAGGAATATTATGATAATATATTATTCGTATTTTCTATGTACATACCTACTACATGTATAATTATTATTATAATATTAAAATGTTGTATAATATTTTGTGGTAATAATAATATAACATTGAAAGACACATAAAGGGTACGACCAATGGTATTTTGCTTAATTTATTGTATGATTGTAAAACAAAAATATTACACATTATCGTCTAAGCTATTGTAACCGTTAAGATATTTATTGTGACGTTTATTGTGTGACGGTTTAATTTTAAGTTTGTTTTATGTTATACAAATATATATTATATTGTAATAAATTAATTATATTTTATTGCCAGAATTATTTTTATACGTTTTTTTACGCTTGCATACAGGATGTCCAACTGTGAGTGTCACAAGAGTTAACCAAGAGACCATAATTTCTTCAGCATTCATTGCCATTTGGTGGTTTTATTAATATTTTACAAAATTATACATACTACGAACCTTCGTCATATTTTAGTATATTCAGAGCTATGTTATAATATTAAACAAAAATTGTAATTTACAAAAATTTTTTTTTTTTTAATAGCCTATTCTTTAATAAAAAAGGAAACTATAATTAACAAATAATTAATTGTGGGCCAACGATTTTATTTAGTGACTCAACATTTAAATTGAAAAAAAAAAACTATTTAAATTTGTAACTGAAAATATAATTTAACACAATTTTATTTGTTGTATATTTATGTGTATTAGCTGAAAAATCAAATCATTTAAACAATTATTTGTGTATACTTGATTTATGTAATCATTTAGTCGATTGCTAATTGGCTTACACGATTTGATTACTTACATACCTTTTGTGTTTAATCTAATTATTTAATCGTTCTTGCGATTATTTTACTCGTTTACTCGATTAGATTACTCGTTTTTGCCGGGTATATTTACTCCACTGCTTGATTTATTCACTTATTGGTTTATTTGATTTGGATTATAGATAACACAATTATTCGATATGCTCACTTTATTTATTTAAAATCACATGATTGCTCCATATTTAATCATATGTTTCTACAAATTTAAAAAAAAAAAAAATTAAAAAATTGCAATTTTGTTAAAAAAAATAGTTGATTAACTAGAAATTAATTGAACATTTTTCCACGATCGTTACCTTTCAGATATTATGATGAATGAAAAAATTACCTTCTCACTAAAATATCAATAAGATTAGAGTTTTTGTATTTTTCCGAGTGATTTTTATTGATCCCGTTTTGAGAAAACGTTTCTAAAGTTATGAATCATGTCATTAAACAGTGCACAGGTGGCATTTGCTTAGATAGTGTAAAGAGTGTTTTGATTAATATGTTTTGTAGTCCAACTAATTTAGTAATATTACATTTATTATACTATAATATGCATTAAAACCGTTAATCAATATGTAGCTATATAATATTATAATTAAGAGATTTTTTTTTAAATAAAACCCTACTGAACCACTGCCATAATTATAAACTAAGCATTAGTTACATGAAGAAAGTTAAGGAAAAAAAAATGCATTAAAATAAGTAATAATCTCATTAACAATACAGATTATATTAAAAGAAATGTAAAGATATATCTTAATAATTTTGTTTATATTTTTTTATATGAATAGTTTTCACTGTACATCAGTTTGTTTCTGTACTATTGTTCTCAATTACTTCCGACGGTAAGACAGCTGTTGTGTCTACCAACGTTGTCACGTGTACTTTGTTTGCTTGACTATACCACGAAGTCTTCGACGATACTCCAATTGTATAAGTTGAGCCGGGTTTCAGGTCATTTATCTGGAATGTATAAGATATATTTAAAAAAAGAAATTATTATTTTTTTAAGATTAATTTGAAAAATCGATTACCGTGTAGTTGTATGTTGGTAACTCTTCAGTCACTTGTAACTCCATAACCGGAAAACTTGCACAACACGAATCAACATCTAAGGAAGATACTTCTTCCACATTGATTATGAACGAGTTTAGAGCACCGTTAAACATCCAAGGGATGTCCCATTCGATCGTCACGTTTTTGGTGCCAACTTGGATTGCTTTAACGTTTTTTGGTTCGTCTGGTGCTGTTGGCAAACACAAATATACAGATGGTGTAATAAAATAAATGTTTCTTATTACTAGAAATCAGCTTTTTTATCTTAGATTTCAGTGTTTTGCTATTAAAAAAAATTTGCAATTTACTTACTTCCATCCATAGTATTAAAGTTAATAGATCCCGGCTGTACTCCTGATGGATAATCTTCAGACTTTGCTAAAATCTATCGAACACAATATATTGTATTTTTGTTTTATAATCCAATATAAAATATATGTATATATCTATCAATTACTTTAATTGTATATTGGGTACTGCGTGTCAAGTTATCGACCGTTGTGCAGTACATCGTCGGCCATGCTTTACATTTAAGCGGTTCTATTGTCTTTTGTTTAACATTGGTTTTTTGACTGTTGGGGTTTACTTGTATTATAAAACCGTTCATGTCGGTATCATTGGGATAGCTCCATCTCAGACCAATTTCTCTAGTTTTCGAGATCTTTTTGTAAACGGACAACTCCTCTACGGGTGGTAAATCTGAAAATGATTTTAGACTTTTAATAATACATACATTTATTTCACACATCGGATTTTTGTAAAGACAACAATAACGAATTATGTTTATAAATTTAAAGCAAGTAACAACATACATTTTGATTTGGTTTTGAACGGCACTGACAGCACAGAGTTCACGTTGAACCCTTTGTCGGTTTTTATATATACTCGAAGTTCGTAATCGGTATTTGGATTTAAATTAGTATATTTTACCGCGGGTTCCTCTGTTTCTTTTACTATTTGTGTCGCGTCTAATAAATTCTGTATCGTTCAAATCATATGAATTTTTGTAATACTAAATGTTTTTAATTAAATTGCAACGTCTTACCTTTAGTACTACGTGGAAACCCATTACAAACCCGTTGAGTTTATTACATTTTTCTTTATCTACATACCACTTTATTGAAGCAGTTTGATTGTTTACATATATCGGCTGACTAACGTCTAGAACTGGGGCTAAATTAGGTGCTGCAATATAAAACAAAAACCAAAATTAATAGGTTATTCATTTGACACTAGATCGAATCTATATTATAAGCATTATTACTCGATGTGGTTGTGTGTACGAAAATTACATTTTCACTTTCGCCGTATGTGTAACCAGTTGTGATCGGTTCTATTTTTATGACGTACTGAGTATTGGGTATTAAATCCAATGCACATTCAGTTATATTTTCAATAATAATTTTGGTCCAATTACTATTGACGGTTTGTCGAGAACAACTATAGTGCCGGTTAATCTAAAAATCCATAATTTGGGTAAAATATTCAAAGGAAAACGATTTATAAAACATATATTTTTAAGCTCACCTTATATTTGACCATGTAACTTATAGGGGTGTCTATATTGGCGTTATTCAATTCCCATGTTAAATGTAAAATCGTATCTGAGTCAATTTGGTTAGCAGTGATGTTTCGAATACTGATAAATCCTGCAAACATTTACAGTAATCACATAAAACAATTATTTATTTCTTGTTTACTCTTAGTAGGTAGTTATTTAACTCTTGAGTGCTACCTTGCACGTCAGTAGTTTCATAAAATAAATCTGAAGGTTCAGTCGGTCCAAGCGTTGTCATTGCAGTAACTTGAATAGCGTATGTGTGAGCCGGTATTAGGTTGTCAAAATCGTACTTATTACTTGAAGTATATGCAACATCGTACATATTTAACTTCCGGTTAAATATCAATTTCAACGTGTAACTGACGATTTCGCATTCCAGGATATCCTTTTTATTGTGCTACAAAATATAAATTTGACATTGAAAAAGAATAGTTAAGGTAGCTTTTCACACCCAATGACCACAATGCTAAATAATAACTTTTAAAAATAAATAAAATATCTATAAATATATATTTATAGATATTTTTTAGGTAACCGTTTTAACATTAATTTCATTGATCAATCACACGATTAGTTTCTTTTTAAAAATCCTATTTTCCTCTATTGGCCGGGCAATAATTTTCTAAATGATGTATAATAATGCTACCTTTTCCCAAGTGACATTAATATATTTGGCACCCTTCACAAGATGTATTCCGTAGTCGATGTTCTCAGGAACTAAAATAAAAATCAAATATCACTTAAAAAATATCAATCCAATATTTTTTTCTTTAGAACTTTAATAATTATTAGTAAAAATCAGCAAGGATTTAATAAAAACCGTATTGTTTACTTAGACATTGAGTGATGTAGTTTGCAGTGTTAATATCTTCATCGTTGAAATTTCCATCATCCGCAATTACAACAGCTCCAAACGTGTATTCAGTTCCCAACAGTAAATTATCGATATTTACAATGGCGTAGTTGGAATCGCCAATTTTTTTAACATTCAAATTATTAAAATCTGAATTGCTAGACGCTTGCTATTATAAAATAGATATATTATTCAGAAAACATTAGCCTAACGTGCGTATTAAAATAATGCTGATTATGAGTTATAGATGAAAACATTTCTAGTTTATCGGAATTTACATACCTTGTAAACTATTTGATAGTATAAAGGAGTTTTCTCATTGCTTCCGGCGATATTTTCAATATCGAAACTTACATTTAATTTAACAGAGTGATAGTTAGATGAAACCAATTGCGGTGGGGCTATTAGCCATGGATATTCTACAAGAGCAGATATTTGCTTAAAAATATATTTTTATTCTAATTTTAAAAATAAAAACTAATTGTACTTTCAGTGCAGTTTGGTAAGATAAAAATACTTTTGCATCCGCTTAGGCAAATGCCTGTATGGATATCACACGAATCACAGTTTTCTCCGCATTTTTTTTGACAATCTCGACCGTATGTTCCCAAAGGACATTCTGCAATATTTAATTTTCGTTAGTATCATTTTTAACATAGCATTAAGAGAGTCAAATTAAATACTTTGATCACAAAATTGTCCGGTATATCCTGAAGCACACGAGCACCCATCACGTGAAGTACAAAATAGCATGCGCTCACAAAAGGTTCCCCGTGTCGAACAAGTTCCAGAACAGTTAACGCCAAATTCGTTTTGATTGCATTCTAAAGTAATTTACAAGTTATTAGCAATCTACCATCTTTATTACTCTTAATTTGTACACTTTACCTTTGTAAACACGAGCGGAATCAACTGATTTTGAGCCTATAAATATGTACAATTGTATTAAACCAACAGTACAATATAGATATTGGTGTGATAGTTATCTATGTTGTAAAGAATCTGGCTAGAACATTTTGCAATTAAGATAATTTTTACAAAATTAAACTTATTGCGTGGAACTCTTTTAAAAAATATTTGGCTCCTATGTTAAGAAATGAATGAAAATAATCTACTGTCCTAGGTGCTAAGCCCTATACACAAATTTAGTAGGCCATTTTAAAATTTACAAAAAAACTTTTTAGGGTTCATTCAAAGTTTCCCAATTTTTGGTTAAAACTTTTGTTTGAAAAAAATATATATGTTAGAAAACAATTAGATGGCGACCCCGTCCAAATATTTTGTTTTAAGTTCTGTGTAAGTAGTAAATAAAAATGGTGAAATTTGAGTTTCATAAGGGTCAACTAAGCTAGTGTGATCTAATGTTAAAAATCTGTTGTAAGGAGGTACACATTTATACGTCATTTTAAGAAAAATACTAATTAAGCAACCAGACATACATATTGTAAATTTGTTTAATAGTTACCTATTTTAGTGTAGGTGAGATAAACCAAAAATGGGGTCAATTAAGAAAAATAAGGTTTCAGAAGCAAATCGCGCCTAAGTCATACTTAAATTGATAGTTCTTCTTTTTTGTATGTTGACATATATGTTTAGCTTAAATAAAATCATTTACTACATTAGGTCATTAAATAGAGTCTAAAAATACGTTTCCGTCACTGAAATGTGAACAAAAAACGTAAAGGATATACAATTTTTAAAAATAACCAAATCCGAGCTGTTTTACTGACCTAACCTCCGCACTTATGTAAAAAATGTATAAGAAGCAAACTTCTAGATAAATATGCAAGAAAGAAGTTTTGTATTAAAAGTTTTGTATCAAGTATAATATTTTTCAAGAATTTTGAAAAAATCCCATTATAGGAGTGTTTAATCCCCTCTAAAAAAATTCAGCAGAGAGAATGGGGGGTAAGATTTTGAGTATGTTAGTTAGGGGACCACTCTTAATGATTTTCCAAAAAGTCCTACTTGTTACCTCGTCATTCTTAATTAATTCCTATCTCGCCTACACTATATTTTTATAGAGTAATAGTTTGTACAGTAAATAAAAATTGTATAAGATTACCATCCAAATGATAAATGTTGGCTGAAAGTGGAAATTCTTCGATTTTGTATATAGGTGTCGTCGTGGAATACATTTCTTCGTATCCATAAAACAAAAAATTGTGTTTACAGTTATATATATAGTGTATTATAACCATAGAAACTATTATAGAAATATTCTATGAAATTAAATAGATAAACAACAACGTACGGATTAAAGAGTCTATAAAATATTCATCTTAAACCGTTGTGTACATTAATATTTATTGATTTATATAATTCGACTTTGTTAGTGTACAGAAATCGTTTAACATTACCATATTGTCGATCATTTTTGGCTAAAAGGGAAGAAACTTCATTTCCGGATATTTTGTACACTTCTTCGTCTTCAAAAATAAAGCAATGAGTGCATATAAAATTATATATATATAGTGTATTATAATTACTTTTTACAATGACTTCAACAACTTGTTTTAATCAGAATTATCGTTTACTTACCTTCATTGCATTGAGCTATTCTCTTAAGTCCAAAAAGTCTGTTATATCCATCATATTTATAGGTAATAACTAAATTATAAGTTTTTTTTCTTAAAAATAATTCATTAGTTCGCAGTATCAAAGTTTGTAAAGTACCCTAAAAAAAGCAAGTCTTTAAAATGTACCATTTAAAAAAATTATAATTGGTAAAATTGTATTAAAAGTAAAAATACTAGTCACGTGCATTAAAACACCTATTAGTTGAAAGAAATTACTTTTAGTTATTATTGGGGACGAACTGATTTTATTGGTTCTACTGTTTCTACTCTAATAAAATTGCATAATTATATTTATGCTTATTGTTAGTGTACAAAAAGAAAAAACATAACTAAGAGAAGAACCGACAAAAATCGTGTTAGGTATAAAAATAAAACTTGTTTATAATTTGTTGTTCCAAAAATAACTTAAAAAAGACGTAAGGAGATCTATTTTTGCATACATTAAACATTTTATTGATAAAATTAAATTATAGAAACAAGTTTATTTCGGTAGCTCTTGTAGGTGTTACAGTAACTTACATCATAACCGCTAGGTATTGTGTACGATATTAATGGAGTACTATTTTCTTTTTCATATATATTTAAATATGTGATTGCCGAATTTGTTGTTACATATGTAAGTGATATGCATCCTCTAGTTGTAGTATCCGGTGTCCAACTGATATTAAAGGGATAAGTAGGGTGCTGTGTCAATAAAATACCTCCTATTGCGCTCCTCCAGTTTCCTATTGAATAATATTTTATTAATAATAATAGTTTAATTTTAAGAGTAACGTGCTATAATTGTCATGTGACTAAAGTGATTAAAGGCGATAAAACAATCATGAAAATTGAATTTATACATCTATAAACTATTTAGTATTTAAACGTTTAAAACGAATTTCTGTCAAAAAAAAAACGAGTAAAATAAAGCTATGCAATGTCGTTGATCGCTTTTGAAATTAATATTAGTATTCAGTATGAGACTTTAAATAAAACGAAATTAGCCAAATCATTATTTGACGTTTCTTTAGGAAACGACTCTATTCTCTGACAACTAAAATGCCGATTTTATTTACTTTTCTTACTAGAGTTGTATTATAAGCGTTATTATTTTAAACGGTCTTTATGATTTCTAATAAATTCATCAGTATTTTCTATAACTAAACCAAAATATAAACCATATAAATTTTACTTTACTTCATTACTTAAATATAAAAACCGTCGTTTTTTAGCATATATTGTAGAACAATTAAAAATTACAATGGGGCGATATAATGTTATGTTGCATAAATTATCCTTAATTTAAGGTTAAATAAAACATATTTTAAATTTTGCCTATTAAGATTATGGTATAACAATTTTTAAGAATACTATAATCTAAATCGACTAATGAAATGTTTACTCCACCTTATTATAAATAACCAATTCTGCATTATACTTACCGTAGTGTCAACAAATGTTCTCTCAAAAACCCAATAATTTGAGTTGTACTCAACGTGGTTATTGGTAATAATTTTTTTTTCATTATATGAATCAACAATAAATTCTAGAGCATTATCCTTAAGACTCAGAATTCTTCCATTATAGTAAATTGGCATGCCAATAGCATTTTTTCTCAGACGTATTTCACCGTTAAAGCAGCCTTCAAAGTCGGTAATACTATCAAGTGATTTATCCGGTCTTGGGCCTAATTTAAATTTATTTAAAATGTAAAATCAAATTTGTGAATACAGTAAATAAGAATTACGATTATAAATTTGTATTACATGTCGTAAGAGTGTCGTTATTTTCGTGTAGCTTGAAAATAGTTGTAATATCAAAATTTTCATCTGAAAGTCGAAAAAATACATTTTTAATTATGAACATGTTTTGGCGTACCCTATACAAAATGCCATACCAGAATGCGATTTGATTTCGGCTGTGAAAGTTATAGCATGTGACGAACTGATTAAAAAAAATACAAATACAAATAGCTCACACTTTAGAACCATTTTAACGTTAAGTTAAACAATATTATATTAACTTATATTATTCACAATATGTGCTAGCCACAGAATTATCCGTGGCACTAACGCTTTTCGAATCGCAGCTACGGTAGACTATTTATGATTATAAAGTTATCTAGTAGGTAGTTTGAACCGATTTTATCATAAAGGTCAGTGTTTTGTTTGATCATCACTAATAATTACACTTTGGTTCGATCATAACAAAAATAAAAAACATTTCAATGATATAAGTTTGGTGCGCAATAACATATAAAAAACTACTAATACATTTTTTTTCTTAAATTTAAGCACAAATACAATATGCACAATAATTCTTTCTTTCACAAACACAAAATAAGCAATATGTTGTCTTGAGATAAACATTGATTTTTTTTTTATGGTACATATATAAAATACTTGTAATAACACAGAATTGGATTTATATTACACTTTTGTGGTTCAATCTGATTGATGAAAATTTAAACACGTTGTGCAAATGGCAATTTGTTACTAAGTTTTTTTCTATAATTAAATCCACTTTTTATCTATAATTAATTATTTGGTCAATTCTCTATTATAAATCATTGACATATATATTTAAAATATATTAAATTTATCAAATAAAGCAGCTCTTACACGCACAATAATTTTGAGTCAATAAAACTTGTTCAATGTAACTTTGAAAAAATCAAAAATAGTGTTGGAAATTAATTGCAAAATCCAGCACATAAAGTCCGCTTCAATGTAATGTACAACTATAATAGTAGATGTTGTAAGAAAATATCTGTTAAACAATTCTATTCTGAGACCAAAATAATATATGATTACATTATCTAAACACAGAATATCTTGACCAAACGTATATAATAGTTAAACATAAATAGATGTTTAACTACTATATATGATTTAAATATCTAATAACAACGTCTTATATAAATACGATATTGTTAAATTATACTAAATCGTGATTACAAGAATATCATGATAATATATTATTCGTATTTTCTATGTACATACCTACTTCAAGTATAATTATTTTTATTATATAATAAAATATTTTATAATATTTTGTGGTAATGATGATGAAGTTTATTATTTCTTCAGAAAATTTTGCCATTTTGTGGTTTTTTCAACATTTTACAAAATTATACAAATTACGAACGTTCATCAAAATTTAGTATTTTCAGAGCTGTGTTAAATTTTTAAACATAAATTGTGAATAACAAAAAAATAGCCTATTCTCCAATGAAATAGGAAACTTTAATAACAAAATAATTATATATGGGAAATCGATATTATTTAGTAAATCAACATTTTAATAAAAAAATCAATTTAAATTTGTAAATGAAAGTACATTTTTATTTGTTGTTTAAAATTAACTCATCTAATTTTAAATGTACTCTGAACACCGTAATCCGACAATATGTATGAAAACAAATATGGATTTTCCAATACTTGTCTGATGCATCAGGATCGAAATACATCTTTTAGTATCGTTTGAAATGGTTATTTTTACACAAATCAACTTTGAATTTTTTTAAGTAGGTTTTTAGGTTTTAACTGTCTTTACGGTTTCTAATAAATCCAATCAATACACAATTAGTACGCCTAACATAATATAATGCGAGAATGATGGAAATAGCACACAAGACAACTTAATAAGTTTATGAAAAATAGTCATGTATGATTGCCAATCGAAAATTGGTACCGATTCACTTTCAAATAAGACATTGTTTTGAGCGAAAAAAGTTTATTCGTACTAGCTGATAATAAAACCCGGTGTAAATAACGACAAATTATGAAATTTCATAATATTAAAAATATATTTGTTGCTAAGGTATATTATTTATTATTTGCACTTAAACATTTATGCAGATATTATTTGTATGAAATTTTCTATTATTGTTTTTGTTTTTTCCAAAACTATTTATTGTTGTATAATTATTTTATAAATTTAACCTTGTGTCTTTATAACCTTGTGTATAAAATTGTGTATATTTTTTTGTAAAATATATCTTTTGTTTAAAAAATATTCTTTATAAAACTTCATACTTTGTATTATTTCTTTCTTTCTCCTTCATTCTTTACCTATTCTTTATTATAACTTGTTCTGCGCTAAAGTGATGGCAAGTAGCGACACTGCCCTTAGTTGTAAACGTTCATTGAGTGACGCCGAAGACCAATACGACCAGCCAAGAAAAACGGCTAAGTAACCTAACAGTTATATATTTCAGGAAACTGTTAATCTTAATATGATGATTATAATTGTACAAATAGAATTGAGACATCGGAAAACGAACCGACTAACGAAGAAGATCAATTCGCTGATGTCATGCCGCCGTTTATACCTATAGTCGAATCGTACATGCCTCCCCTGATACCCATAAACAAATGGTATAAGAGTCAAGGTATTAGTTAACCAACGGGTCCAACGAAAGATGAATACGCCGATGTTTTACCCTTTATACCAATAGAGAAATATGGTGATAGGGCTCCGCTGGTATCCATTGAACAATGGCTAAAGATTATTGAAGAAACATGGAACCAGTCAAGTAATCAATTAATACAATTATACGGGGCATAATTTCCAAGGGGGGGGGCTGTATGAAAGATAGAGCCCTCCTTACATTTACTACAAGTTGTACGGAGAAGTACAAATTAAAAAAGAAAAATATAATAGATAAATTTCTCCTTTATAATTTTCCATACTTGCACTTTTGCTCTATATTCAGCCAAATACATACAACTAAACAGCGGTCTACAGTATTAAAACAATCTGCTCGTGCTAAGAAATTAATAGGAAATAGATTGACTTCTTTAAAAAAAAAATACAGGTAAGTGCAACTCGTTGTTGTGTTTTCTATAAACACGAGAGAGTGAAGATAGGTGATAGCAAAAATTGCCTTAGATTGTGTGGGACAGGGAGTTATTGTTAACAATGTAAATCAATAAACATAATATATATTTAATAAGAATAATTCATAGATTTATTAATTTACCTTAAATCAATACCGGGTTGACATTCATACTTTTCCCATTCTGAATTATAAAAAAAAGAGTCAGTGTAAGTATTATTAGTTATATAACATAAAATATGTACCCAAATTTCTACTTGGTAAGTTTATCAAAATGTAGGCACTTATCAATTTATAATTGGTAATTTTTATAATAATTACCCATATAATTTAATAATAATTGAAATACTAAAAATATATATTATCATATTACTATTATTAATCCTAATAAGATGTTTGTAATTGCACAAACAGTGATCAGACATCTGAAAAGGACAGTAAGACCGAGGAAGACGATGGATACTCGGACATGCGGCTCCGCTAGATCAATGATTTACGGATTTATAATACGAATACGCCGAGTGTATGATCTTTAAACGCTCACTAACCTACATCGAGGACGAATACGAACAACCTAGAAAAACGGCCAAGTAACCTAACAGTTATATTATATTTCAGGAAACTATTAACCCTAATGAGATGTTTATAATTGTAGAAAAAGTAATCAATACGCCCATGATACGCCGCCTACACAGATGAATACGGCGATGTGGCTCCGCTGGTATCCATTGATCAATGGTTAAAGATTATCGAAGAAACAACGGAACCAGTCAAGTAATAAATTAATATAATTATCCGGGGTGTGATTTTCGAGGGGGAAGGGGGTCCTGTATGAAAGATAGAACCCCCTCTCATTTACTACAAGTAAATAACAACGCAAATTAATATAATGACAAAATAAAAATGTTCTAATAATA